CAAAAATAAAAGTAGGCTATCGTATCGGCCGAGTACTGGAAAAAAGTGGTATCGGAGCATCCCTAGCAATTATTGCAATTACCTTATTATCTAATTACTTTACTAACTCTGTTGTATTTTATGCCAGATACTTAAATGTAACCAGTTTCTTCAAACAGTCAGAATACTATAGACTGTTTCCAATTACATTTTATCAACTTCTACGAAAGCCATTATTACACTGCAAAGGTGGAACAGAGGCTCTGACATGACATTTATGTTTACATAAATATATTTACATAAAGTAAATTGCCTGCATGAAGTATATAAATAGTTATAAAGTATATAAAAAATGGTGAATAAATTATACACAGAAAGTGAGTAAAAAACATTCCCTGTCACTGTAGTGGTTCATGACCATAAAACCATCAAACTCTGGTTATAATCACTGAAGCTGTCTACACTGCTAAATGTATCTCTTAATTACATTGTATCTGTACTTTATTGTTTGTATTGAGAAATTTTGCAAGAGTGCAGAATTAATCATTTCCATTTTTTTGCAGTATCTCGAATTTGGCAGGCATTTTTGATCACTGTGATAGTAATTTTAAGCTGAGTCTTTGGCCATTTTCAAAAAACGTCTAAAGACACATCTTTTTCGCCAGCACCTGACGAACTAATACTAGCACTTACCTATTCTATTCTATTCTATTTTATTCTATTCTATTCTATATATTTAAAAAAAATAAATAGTTATGTGTACTGTGCTAGACTAACTGAGACTTGTCACAGCACTTGTATACTGTTGCTCTCTCGTTTGTCTGATTGCTTCACTGTGGATAAAAGCGTCTGCTAAATGATTAAATGTAAATGTAAAAATTAAACCTCTTGCCTCAGATGCTCTTTGTGTACATTCACTCTTTATGATATGCACCTGCATCAGCATTCCTCATTTGTAATTCTCTTTGGGTAAAAGCACTGTCATAAAGAAATGTAAATATCCTGTCCTTGTGTATTATGTTATATAAACCACAGAGGAATGCTTGAGAAGTTAGATCGCTAACAACATGGAGATCTGATGCATGCTTGTTGTAAAAGTGTCGACAGCAGGCCTGTTTGGAACGGAGGAGTGCACTGATGTCGATCGCGCCTCTTGTAAACTCGCCTTCCTTCGCTCAGGTTGCCAGATTGGACTTATTTGGACGAGCGTTTCGCTTTTATCGGAATGGAAAGATTTTACACGAAGCGATTCCTTGATGTCATGCCTGAGAAGTTAAGCAATGTCGTGAACAAGTGTGTATGTGCGCGCATATGCTAGTGTGTATGTGGACGTATTGCGGAGCGGTGTCACTTCTCAGCTCAGTAGCTGTGTCTGATGAAAGTTTGGCATTTTCTTAGATGTGACTCATTTGCAATCTGCAGATCTAATGATGGGAAAGAAAACCAGGGATGTTTGAAGGAAATAAGAAAACGATTATTTGTTGAAATGACTAGAAAAGCAACTAGTTGTATAACCGAACCACTTCGTGTTTTACTTTTGTTTTAAATACTCACTTTTGAACAGTATCTTGTTTAATTAATTCAGTATAACAGTCTAAGCTTGTAGTGTGTCCTTGAAAAATTGTATGTTCTGGTCATTACTTTTATGCCATACTTTTATGATACTTTAAATAACTCTGTACACATTAGACAATTGAATATAAGCCTACAAGAGAGCTTTTCTGCATTTTTATTCAAAGGTCAGGAAGTCAAATGCTGATAGAAATGGCAAATGAAGTGATTTTTGAAGGTTTCTCGTCTCCTTAGCTCCAATCCCTGAGGTGCTCAAAGGGGATTTTGCTTCAGCTTTTGAATTTCAAGGCTTACACAATTGCAGTCAAGCAGTGCATATTTGCCAATGTGACCCAACATTTCCCATTGGCTTTAATGAAAGCATATTTCCTTGGGAAAAAAAGAATAGTAAAACCTCAGTAGGGAATATTCAAATGCACAACATTTTCCTTCACTGCCTATCACAGATTTCTCTGATGTAACATCTAAACGTTTGCTCTGCCTTTGGACAGACTGTACCTGTCTATCTTTGAATTTATTTTTTACTAATGCATGAAGAATAATGGTTGTTCTTATCTGTGTTATGACTGTATTTATTGTAGAAGTTGTTATGCACGTTGATTTGGTTGCGTAGAGCACAGAACATTTTAACCCTTAAATTTGCAGCAACATAAATACCTCGGAAAATATGTTTATTTCTAATTTGATGCAATGCAGTGTAAGATTTCAGTTAGGACTGCACAATAATCAAATAAGCATTAAAATGGTTGCAACCATGATTACCTATTCATGTTTTCATGCATGTCAAGTTTTCTACTTCTACATTTTTATTTTTTATTTTTTTTAAACCAGACTCATTGGAGCCTGTGGCAACATTTCTGCAAAAAAATATATAATTATGTTTCTTGCATGTTTACTGACACTTTCAAAGTGAAAAATCACTAAAATCATGCTCATTTTTATCTAAAACAGATAACAAAAGCAAACATGAGATAAAAACACATTTGCTGAAGCAGCCATGCCATTTTATTTTGCTTATACAAGTCTTTAAATTATTTTATCATGACTCGTGTTTCACAGGACTCACTTCGCAATGCAAGAGTAATGCTGTACCAGGTGCGCTAACAAGCAAGTTTACTATGCTAGAAAAGCCGTACATATGGAGCTGGTTATGTGATGCAAACATCAAAATGTATTACTTTACAAATTGTGCACTATGTTAAAAAATGTTTGGAGCCACTTTTAGGAATCACACAAAAATAACCCTTTATTAACTAATTATCTGCCCTGTAATCATAGTTTGTGTGAAAAGGTGTTCATTTAGACTGAACTGGAAACTGCAGTCAGTTGTATATATATAGTTTTGGGAGTTTTGCAGAAAGGTTGTGTATTTTTGATGATGTTGAGCTTTGTAACCAATCAAAGCCACGTCAGTCATGCACATGCATGTAATGGCCAATCGGAGGCATTTAAAACCGTCTATATTTACCATGAATAATAACAGCTGGTCCTTAATGAGCGAGTTATAAGCAATCTGATCTGTGTTTCATGTTTCGTTTCGGTCCGCGATGGCACGTGAAGAACCAAAGCGAAATGAACCGTTGGTAATTTGGAATTCTTTTGGATTTGTTACATGTTGTGCCGCTCGCTTGCAGTGCAATCGGTGTAACAGCCAATATAGCGAGGTGTAAATTAGATATTTATCTGCAGTAGAGACAGCTATGTTGATTTTAAGGGGCGCATTTGCGAGTCCAGAACTCGGTGAACTCACGCTGAACTGCAGGGCTCAAACTGTGTAAACTTACAGTGACAGCTTAAGTGATTTTAATGGCTGGGAGCGCGCTAGTATTGTCACGTTGCTCACTTTCTGGGCATAATTGAGAATGTGTTTTTATGCTGCTCAGAGGGCCAATGTGAAGGTACTGTTTAACCGCTGTCTTGACTTACTTATGTTTAATTAGAGCTATCAAACGATTAAAAATTGTAATCGGATTCATTAAAAGATATGGCGATTGATTAATCAAATTAATTACAAATAATCACATATGTCAATATTTGTGGCTGAACCCCCATAATTAAAGACAATTCAAGGACATTAGTCTGCATTATTGAGGCAGATGAGAGAATCATTAAATAGGCAATGCAAACACAGTGTTAATTTCTATATGATTGAAATTGTGCCCGTCACTGACCTGCAGCAGGTAGATTTGGTGGCTGTATATTTAATTATGTTTAATTGATCATTTATGTATGCTACCATTCAAATGTTTGGGGTTGGGTAATATTTTTGTAATGTTTTTGAAAGAAGTCTCATATTGCTCACTAAGGCTACATTTATTTGATCAAAAATGCAGTAAAACATTATACTTGTGAAATGTTATTACAAATTAAAATAGCTATTTTCTATTTGAATATATTTAAACATTTAATTTATTCTTTGGGATGCAAAGCTGAATTTTCAGCATCATTATACCAGTCTGCAGTGTCACGTGATCCTTCAGAAATCATTTATTTTGTAACATTCTAAATGTTTATTGTCAATTTAATGCGTCCTTTCTGAATAAAAGTATTAAATTGTTTCAAAACAATAAATTCATGAATAAATAAAATCTTAAAACCCCAAACTGCAGATGAATGTCTTTGCATTTCTGAGAGGGGCCTTCATTAATGACATTAATTGTATGACAGAATGTTTTATTTTTAATACATAATTAATAACACTAAATTAACATGCTACATTTGCAGCCCTAATTTATATGCAAATTCTGTCATGTGAATGTAAGAGTGATTACAGTATCAAGAGGATTAATTGACAATTACGATTTCTGTCACGATCATGCAGCTTTAGCTTTAACGTTTTATGTATTTCAAACATTATTTTGTAATTACACCCATTTTTACCAGTTCACCTAGAACTTATCTATTTATTGTAGAAAACCGTGGAGCTTCATTCTCTGTTTGTGTTGTTCCATCATAATGAATGGTAATTTAGTCTAAGTTCACCTAGAACTTATCTATTGTAGAAAACCGTGGAGCTTCATTCTCTGTTTGTGTTGTTCCATCATAATGAATGGTAATTTAGTCTCTCCTGAACATGGTAACTCCACCATTAGCACCAACGTATGCCAATTACACAGCTAGAACATACAGCGGCCAACATAAACATTACCACTCTGTAATTCGGGACCACTTTGATTCTAAAGCCGAAGAAAGCCTGTCATTTATCTCACACTTTTGTCTCTTCAACTCTTGAGAGCTGATGAATGAAGAACAATCACCATTTCTCAACACTGGGCTCCACTCAGCAATAAGACAGAGTGTCTGTGCGCTCAGTCAGTGTTTTTGTCTTGAATATAATCAATTACCCTTAGCTGTGTAAATATAAGACAACGCGATACACTGCTCAAGTGCTTTGACAGTCATTTTGTCTTCATCTATATTGGTTCTCACTCCCTCTCTTTTTCCCACAGACAGATTGGTGTATCGTAGCCAAAGACTCAATGACTGCCGTGGAGCTCCTGTTTGTGGCTCAGTAGCGTGGAGTCATCACACCCTGAAGAGAGGAGAAAATGGACAGGCTGAAGGACTTGAGAATGCTGGGTCAGCCTCTCAGAAGGTCAGTGAAGTCCTGTCGTTCTGTGGTGATGCCACACTGACATTCAGTCTTATTTACAGATCTGAAACTAGACAGGCCTCTCGATGTTTGCACTTTACCCGTGAGGGAAAGCAATGGAAAATTTAGCTGCAGGCAGCAATTATGCAGCCAAGCCCCAATGGCACATGCCAATTGTACGTTGGAGCAGATTTGTCTGGTCATACGACTCCCTTTGGTTACATAGTATAAATTTGTTCAAGGAATATAAGTAGATTTACCAGTATTTATATCTTTATGGCATTTAGCATCATTCATAGGGCAATCAGGACATTTTGGCAAAGATTTGCGTTAATATGCACAGATGATGTTGCAAGATAGTAACTGACACCATGATTAGCATCTTTGGAACTCAGGAACTTTGTTCTTTCAAAAATAAATAAATGAATAAATAAGTTAATTTTGTGAGGTTTGGCCTAAAGATGATCTATTAGGCAGCGTTAGTGACGATTATTATCAAGATAATACAAAAATTTCTTAGTCCAATTATCAAACCACAAAGGCTGTGATTTGTCCCACTTATTTAGCTGCACTAAGGCCATGTCCACACGTACACAGGTATTTTTATAAACAGAGTTTTTCCTTCTTCCGTTTTTAAAAAAATCTCCATCCACATGAAAACGCAAACTGTCAAGAGCATGCCAAACCAACAGGTGGCGATATTATCTCAACCATAAAGCCATGTTGGCCAATCAGAAGCCTGAAAAAGTTTCCAGTAGGCGGAGATAACAGCGCAGGCTCCGACGTCACAAGCCAAAACTCCGGTTTCGCTGTCTACACGATAACACTGCAACCGGAGTTTCTGAAAATCGGCACCCTGGCAGGCGTTTTCAAAAATGTTCGGTTTCAGTGACCTGGTGCTGCGTTTGCGTATGGCCGAATGGCCTAACCGCGTAGAAAAAGCTGCGGTTTTAAAAATAACCGCATTCGTGTGCACAGGGCATAAGATTGGACAAATATTGTAGGAGGAGTAGCAGAAAACAGTATGCAAATTTGTCTAGAATGTGTACAAGGATAGAAGTAGCGCTTCTGTGCTTGACCCCTAATACACACTATATGACCAAATATACACTACTGTGCAAAAGTTTTAGGCCATTAATATTTTCATCAAAAAAGTGGAAAAAAAAGTAGTGTGTCAGTAGGAAATATCAGTTTAATTTGCAGGTAGGTTTCTTAATGTATCTTGGAGACATTGCCGCAGTTCTTCTGGATTTAAAGGAATCAAAAGGAATGTTTGGAAATGTAAACGGATATTTCCTACTGACACTACAGCAAAATAAATTACTATAACATACTAATGGCCAAAGCCTTTTGCACAGTAGTGTACGTGGACACCTGAACACTGAACACTACACCTACATGAGCTTGTTGAGCTTCTCAATTCAAAACCATCTGCTTTAGCAGCTTCCACTCTTCTGGAAAGAGTTTCCACTAGATCACGGCTGTGGAGATTTTCTCAATTCAGATATAAAGCATCCGTTAGGTCGGCGTGATGTTGAGCGTTGGGCTCTGACTCACAGCCGGTGCTCAGATTCATCGTGAAGCTTCTCAGTGGGGTTTCAGTCTGGCTTTATGCAGGACAGTCAAGCTCTTCTAACCTAGACTCAACAAACCATTTCTTTATGCTCCTCGCTTTGTGCACCGGTGCGCTATCATGCTGGAAACAGTCTCAGTTCTACAAAAAATCCTTTGCCTGCTGAGGTTTCATGGCTGTACGTTTGATTCTAAGCAGCCATTTTTAATCAGTGTAACCGTGTTAGCCAAACTTGTTAATTAGAAGGTGTCCACTTACTTTTGGCCATGTAGTCAAGCATTCAATACCGCTAAAAATTAGCTAGAAAACTAAATTCATGCAGTGCAGCCCAGAATCTCACACATCCACAGATGTATTCTGCACAGCTATTGTCTAAAATGATTGTACAAGTCTGGTCTCTGTTGGCCATTTCGCTGGTCTTGTTCTTGTGAGTTTAGTCTTGGCGGGAGGGGAGGTTTTTAAGAGCGCTAAATGGCCATTCCGCAGGGAAGCCTGCGACCCTTTGACTCTCTGGCGTGTCTGCGGTGGCTCGAATCGATTCGACGGTGACAGCGAGAGAACCCATGCCGTCTGAATTTGGATTCCCTAGAGATCCTCCTTCACAAAGGGACACTGATCTTGAACCCTGGAAGTGAGATGATTCTTGAGAAGTGTAAATGTATCCGGACTTTTGTGTAGATGAGCTTCAGATCAGCTTGGAGTAAGAAACAGATGTTTGGTGGACGGAGTTCAGCCTCATTTTCAGTATTTGTAAAGCGAATCAGTGAAAATTTTATGTTTTTGCTGATGTGGAATAAATGTTTTCACAGCCTCATAATCAAAACGATGGGGTTATGACTGACGCCCCATCTCATTATCAATGGAAAATCATTCTGTTGCCGGGAGACAAATATGTGTGTGTTTTGTAAGCAAACGCCCAGGCAGATGTTCTGCTGAATATGTCCAGTTCAAAGTCTCATTTTTTTATTTTATTTTTTATTTTTATGTCAACCCATCATTTAGAGAACATCTGGACTCTTCTGATCAACATGTGAGATTCAGTTTGTGATTTAGACACATTCTGTTTGTATTCTAATTGATAAACACCTAAAATCATCTATCCATAAATTATTTACCTTGTTACATTTTAATTGTTTGTAATTTAATTATTTATTTATTTACTTACTTACTTAGTAATTTAATTTTTTTAATAACTTTACTTTTTTTAGTTTTACTTTTTATTTTTTCAATAATTTTACTTTTTATATATTTTTTATTTACTTATTATTATTATTATTATTTATTTTTATTTTGCTGTTGATCTCTCAATCAACATAAATAATGGTAGTGCTAAAATATATTGTATTTATATTTTATATTTAATTTTTTATTTTTAAATGTGAAATATAATTGCAATTTAAAATAACTGTTTTCCATTTGAATATAATAAAAATAAAAAGAACAAGAAAAAGAAATTGATTGCTGTGATCAAAGCTGTATTTTCAGCATCATTACTCCAGTCTTCAGTGTCACATGATCTTCGGAAATCATTCTAATATGCTGATTTGCTGCTCAAGAAACATTTATGCTTTTATTCTTCCAGTCTTCAGTGTCACATGATCTTCAGAAATCATTCTAATATGCTGATTTGCTGCTCAGGAAACATTTCTGATTATTAGCAATGTTGAAAACAGCTATGCTGCTTCATATTTTTTAAACAGTTTTCTTTGATTAGTAGAAAGTTCAAAAGAACAGCATAGATAGAAATATAAATCTTTTGTTACATTATAACTAACTTGTCACTGCTGATCAATTTAATGCATCCTTTAAAAAAAAAAAAAAAACCCAGAGTATACTGGAGCTGTCACATGTAATCAGGACAGTAAGTCGTTAAAGACTATAATATAAATTGGCCCATATTAGTCTTATGTTGTGTTTTTACACACTGTGTTCAGCTGCATTAGAGATGCGTGTTTGGGCTGTAAGAGGCAGTTCTGGACGAGACTCGTGGTGGCAGGAGGATGCTAACGCTTTGGTCAGTCGGGCTGATGGCATTTGGCAGCACTGTCTGTGGCTGGATGCCCTCAGTGACGAGCAGCAGGTGCTTCAGGGCGTCCAGTGGTGTCAGCTGTGTGCAGGAGAGCGAGGATGGGAACAGGCACCGTCAAGGCGCGGCAGTCATTAGGAATTGGACAAACAAAGATAAATGCAGTCGGATTGGATCCTAATGAAATCCCGTCGCGCTGTCATTGTGATGGCCCGTGCATATGCATTTCCGTCTCTGCCTCTTCTAGCAGCATCTCTCCATTTCCATCCCCTCTTTTACCTCCGCCATTGGCAACAGACTCCATTTACATTGGCTTATTGCGACCTTCCACCTCAGCTCCCGCTCTATTGCTCTCTCTCTCACCCTGTTTTGAAATTAATTTATGCAGTTGCGAGGAAAGTTGGGGATCAAGCCGGCAGGGCAGCCTCAGTTACTGAGCAAGAAGGATAATTCAATGAATCAGCCATTAGTGTCTGGGAAAGCAAGATAGCCTCTGCGTGTCTTCAGGGCTTCTTGACAGAGACCACAGTTATTCTTTTCATGCATGCAGCACCATGAAGACTGCACCTAATGGCTGTAGTTTGGTTCGTTGAGTGTTATAATTATAGCTTTGGTGATTAAAAACCGAGCACGTGCTCACAGAGTTTCTCTAGTCTCATAATGCCTTCATAAAATCGCTTGTTTTGTTTTTTCCTCCGCTCTACATATTGCATAATAAAAATGATGCATGCTAGGAATGGGGATTTCACATTGTTGGGTTTATGATGGATGCTTTATCATTGGTTACAGTGACCGCTTGGGTTTTTCAGTGGGGAAAAAAAAACATAAATAACAATACAGATTGTTTTGCAGCTGTAGACTGTTATGTGTTTGTCTCACAGCACTTTCGTGGTCAGCACCGCTTCATTGAACAGATTCAAAATCGAGAGAATTGCAACAACAGTCAAATCTTTGAAGTCTTTTTATCTATTGTGAGTTTTTCTTTCCTCTCTCTCTATTTTTAAGATGCGAAGTGTGTGTTGTGGAATTGAATGTGAAAGCAATGAAAAAATAGTAAAGTTGTACTACTAATAATAATAATAAATTCAAATTGAAAGAAATTCAAACTTTTGTGGGTTTTGGGAAGTATGTGTTTGGCAGGTAATTTTTTATAAAGTAATTGTTTGATAATTTAAAATAAATGAATAAATACATAAATCTGAATTAGATTTTGTACAAAGAGGGGTATTATTTATTTATTTACCATGTTATTCTCAGTACTTCCCATAGCGAAATGTAATATATACATATTTTGCCCTATATCAAGAGTGATATTGCCATACCTATAAGGCAATATATTATTGTCACATACATACAATCACTGGGTATATGACCATATACTGTAATTGTAGAACATGTATAACA